ATCAGCTTTAGATAAAAGTGCCAAAAAGCCCTGCTGAAGCGCCCGATCTACGCAGTCGCTGCACAGCCAGGTCAAACTAACACTGTGCTTCTTCCAGTAAAGCACTTTTTTTTTCCATGTCTGCAAGCAGCCAAAGTTACAGCCACAGCTCTCTGTCTCTTCATTATGCAGCTTCTGCAATGATAATCAAATGCAAAACATTGAACAGCTATATTTAAAAGTAACATCTTGCTATGATTTTATCCTGGTGGTTATAGCACTGCATTGGGAAATGGGGGTTTGTGTCTTCTCAGGCTGAAGGAGGCCTAGACAGGAGTGGATCCACGATGCTGAAAAGGGGGATGTGGTAACAGCAGAAAGATCACTGAGTTCAAGTCTGATGGTTGAAACTGGAGCACTCAGTGATGAAAGCATGTGTGGCCACACAAATGCGCATCTCGCTCCCCCATGGGTCCATCCCTGGGCCCTCCCTGAGTTCATACCCTAAATAGCAGGCTATTCTGTAAAAGGTGGGCAGCACTGCCCCTGGCTATATTTGAGATTGAAGGCTATGATGGGGGTTGCTGGTATAAGAGAGATACTTCTCCACTAGAAGCTTTGGATCTTACGACAATAGGGCAGTTCCTGGGCAGGAATTGAGACCCATCCTGGACTTTATATTTCTTAATGGTGCATAAATCATTCATTGGCTATACTGGGGTTCCAAATACCTCACCCTGTTTACCTGGATCGGCCATAGAGACAAAATGCCTAATTTTTAGGTGCCACAAGGCCTATACAGAGGTAGCTATGAGACTGACTTGGAGCTAGCCCAAACTTCTTAATGACAGTGATGCATTTCACTCTGTGTCTGGCACAGCACCAAACACACTTAGGGTTTTTCCAAGTAAACTTAGAAACAATGAAATACTACAACTTTTGGTAAATTAATTAAAAAAAAAACTTGCCCCAGTGGTTTAGCTGTAGTGTTTCCATAGCTTGTTGGAGCTGAAGCCATCTTGGTATAAGCCCTGTGGAAGAAGTTAAAACCAAATGCTTTATTTGTTTATACTATTACATTACTACGTCTTAGCTCCCCATGAATGTGTTATTGTGGAATGTTACCTTCTGGTTATTTTAAGAATGGAAATAAATCTGCCTCCAAGAGTCCGTCATCAGGTAACTGAGCAAACTACAAACACATTTCTTTATATAAACCTGGACTAAAACCTACTTCTTCCCTTCCAAAATAGCCCAACATTTGCCAATCTTAAGTTTAGAATTAAGGTGAACTATAGTTAGGAAACTGAAAGGTATTAGGACTAATGCATCTGAAAATTAAGGATGAGAATGAACCAAACCATTTTCTGCTTTTATGACATTTAAGAAAATTTTCATCATGTAGGAAGTGGGGCTAATGGGACTCAAACAAGGATCGGAAACAAGGAGCTCTCAGCTTAAACTAGAGCCTGCTTCTGAAGCAGTGAGTTGCTTTGGTTTTTCTCTTTGTCTGGGGAAAAAAAATTAAGTACATTGTTAACAGTGAAGTTTCACCGAATTCTGACACATTACAGCTTGGCTTAAAAATATTCAGATGTAATTGAGAAATCAGTAACAGCAAAATGTATTGTCATAAACTATGGGTCAAGGGTCACAATTTGAAACACTGGAAATTATGCATATTTTCCTGATACTCTGGTTACATTCTATAAATCTTTCTATTCTATGCCAATTATGCACTACTTTGAGAGAAGTATTAACTTACTTCCATTGTTTTATGTAGTTCAAGGGAGCAAGATTACACCCTGCATCTGTCAATGCCTTTTTATACTGCTCCAAATCAATCTGAAATCACAAAAAAGAGTTACAGTGGGTTTCAGCTATTCTAAATCAACCAGTCCAAAGACACTTGGTATGTAGTTATTTTCTTCTTCTATGCATGTCAACTAAGGAATATAAATGTAAGCTAAATTAGTACAGAAAAGACCATTAAGAATTTAAATTGATTTCAGGAGTTGCAGAAATCATGAAAGAGAAGAACTTTTATTTCTGGGCTCCAACATGACATTTAGCTTGGCTTTTTAATAAAGTCTGTGCAGAGGGTATAGCCATTTACTGGGGAATTCTATATAATTGCAAGATTTAAAAAAGTGCTATCAATGGACTAATTATTTATTTTTAGTTGCTATGCTTCATTACGTACTAATCAGCTAACTAGGCTTGGCATCATTTGTACTACAGCATTAAAATGTATTTAGCTTTTGTTTTTTCCAAGGGAGACGGCCTAACCTTTTCTTTTCCTTTCTTATTTTTGATGCAGATTTAGTTCTAATGAAATTCTAGATAAAACAGGCTTGCAGATAAGTGTCCTCTATTTAGTCAACAACAGGACAATGATAGCAGTGGTAGTGCATATCTTCTGACATCAGATATACATGCATTGATTCTAAGGCAGCCACCTTTTGATTCTCTGATTTACTGTAACCAGGAATTCACATTAAGGATTTTGTTTTGTACACGTTCAACCCTACTGGATGCATTTTCAGCCTGAATAAAATGCTGCTTTTCAACATAAAGGACATATTGCCAGCATGTGGTTACACAACAGTTAAAATGTCTTTGCTTCAGAAGCACAAGTTTGAGCTGTAAGAGTAAGTGGACTAAACAGTACATGGGTACCTGGTTTGGAGGAACGGGGGGAGGAAGTAAGCCAGGGAAGGGTAAAAAACTGTCACTTATATCAGCCCCTTATGTGTCACTGACTGTAGAAACTGGTGTGCCTTAACTAACTAGAACTGATGGCTTCGGTCAGTGGTGTGAAACTTATGCCAGCCACTGAGCCAGATCCCAAAATAAAATTTCCAAAGGTCAAACTTCCTGAAACCCCAAGAAATCCAAATACACTTGATTTCATTCCAACCATGAAACCACACATTTGTCTCCCTTCAAATCAGATCTCTCTGGTACAAATGATGCTTTCTTCCTCCAATGTAATGTCTCGTGTTTTACTGTATGCCCTGAAAGATGGCATGAGAAATTATCACAAACTATGTATGGACTAGAGGTATAATTTAGAACAGGGGTGCTCAACCTTTTTACCCTGTGGGCTGGATGGGTGGTTTGAAGGAAGAATTTTAAGAAAGGTCTGCAATGCAGCATGAGAATAACACAAGACTGTTTCTTTAGTATCTTCAGTCCAATGAGGCAATATGCACCAACAGTAGTGGCTACAAACAGCCCATAAGCTTTCTTTTCTGCAATAAAATATTTAACTAGCAGATTCATGTAGCCACAGACCAGTTAGCCTCTCTCTCCTCCTTCCCAAAATTTCTTAGTGGTGTTGAAGACAGTCCTTATGGATAGAGACCTACTTCAATCAACAGAAGTGGGATGCATGACAGCTTGTTCAATCTTCCAGGTTCCCCCTCACCTCCCTCTCCCCCCACATTGCTGATTGGCTGAGAAGCACCAGTGGCCCTGCTGTTTGCTTCTGACAGGCTGGGAGACAAAAATGGTACCATATTTAAAACTGTGGTTTTCTCCTCCCTGCTGATCAGGAGCGAGAGGCAGGGGGGAAGGTTACCTGCAAGAATAAAGGAGCTGCTGCACAGAGCACTTCTGCTGTGACTTTGGTAGGTCCCTACTGATTAACCAGCAAGGCTGTGGGTGCAGGTGAATGTCTAGTGTACTGCAATATATGTGTACATGATACATCCCTGGCAAGGAACTCTGCACCCACTCTGGCTGCAGCCCTTTGCACTGTCCTGCTGGTAATGCAGACCAGAGGCAGGATACCCCTAGCAGCCTCTCTCCCACTCCCCCCTGCTGTGCAGCAGCCACCACACTGTTAACCTTTTTACAGCCAAAATAAGGCTTGTACAGTCCTGATCTATACAGTAACAGCTATGAGAGGGTTAATGTAGCAGAGGGTGGGAGCCTGCAGCCCTTGGGTGAGTCCATGCTGCTACAGGTAAGACTTGGCCCATCTCTCCCACCTCCTGTTCTGTTCTGCTAAGCACAAAGCTCTTCCCCCACTCCCTCACCCATTCCCCTTTTTCTGTCCAAGACATAAAAACAACTAGCTACACCTGTGGGATACTGGGTTACTCCTTGGTTTGGTATTAGGAGTGCTTTGTTTGAAGTGGTGTCCGCTTTGCCAAGTTTCCCCTTCCTTTTATTACACCTGTATCTGTGACAAAAATGGGCACAGGAAAATGTCCTAAACATCATATTCTGGTCAAATTCTTGTATTGGGCCATTGATTCTCAACTGGGGCCTCTGAAATTCAGAAAAGTTATGGATAGGTGCCTTGACCCGAAAAAGGCTGAGAACCACTGTACTAAGGCTTTTTGCACCTTATTACTGTTTGTTACTTTTCTTCTCTGAATACCTTATGCCTCTAATTGAAGTGCCAAAATTGACAGGATATAGTCAGTTTAAAGCTGCTTCAGAAGCTTTGAAATTGTGGGCTCCTGATCAGTTTAATCAATTATGAAGTTAAATGAAGCACATTTTACAAATTAGAAAGCACAGCCAAATAGTTCCATTGAACTTCAGCATTATGCAGATAACTACAATTTGTTACAGTGCAATCAATGGAAAAACACAGGGGCTTGTATTGTGCTATTTACTTAAACAATGATGTACTTATTATACAAGTGGAGTACACTATATGTGTCATTTGCATATTTGTTGAGTGAAGGAACTACTTTAAATCATACTGATATCCTCCTGTAGTCCTAAGAAACTTAAAGTATCTATTATGAAAGCTAATTTTAGTTTACAAATATTCTGAAGAAGTCTTTGCTGTTATTGCAGATATCTTTTTTATTAAATCAAGTGCCAAATAGGACAGCAGAGATTCCATTACTGAGGCAGAAAACATCTCAAATAGCAGGAGCTTATTGTTAGGAACAAGAAGCAATCTCTTCATCCTTACTTCAAATTACTTACTGAAAACACTAGAGAGATGAAGATTACCAAACACAAAAAGTAGCCATTTAAGTGAAAAGTGAAAATAACCACAGGGTAATGCAGAAGTATTATTTTTACTGAATTAATTCTTGTAAAATCTTATTTTATAGTAACTATTAACAAAAGAAAAAAAACCCCACCATTGTGTCAAATTCATCTCAACAACTTATTTTGTTCGGATCTTTATTCTACTTTTCTGCGTGTGAATTTATCAGCTCTCTCTCACTATCTTAGTCTTTAGAACCAACCAATATATTGTAATAGATTCTAACACTTGGATTTTTCCCCTCATGTATATTCTGTTCCCATATGAAAACAAAGCTAGATTTAGACATATATATGAGATACTGTAACAGCAAAACATGAAGACAAACTTGCTAAAAATGTATACCGCCATTGAGAGGAGACAAAGTTCTCTCAAGTACATATTTACAGTGAAAAGTAAAAAACTCAAAATTCCAAAGCAAGATAATATAAAACATCACAAAACTTTTCACATGAAAAAATCCTCTTGCCACTGATGTATTTTCTAAAAGGGTGGCTTGTTTACTGAGATCTACAGAAACCCAAATTTCCAAAATTATTTTCAAATATTTTGATTTAAATTAGGTGAGATACTCTTCTTCATCCTCTCCTTTACACCACACAGAGAGGCAGAACTTCATGGAGAACGTACAAGTCCTGTATCTGGTTACAGGGAAGATTTCCTGGGAGAGGTACTGAAGACAAATCTAGAGAAGTCCAGGCCAGGGGTTGGCAACATTGTTGGGCAGAGTGCCAAAAATACCTGCAACCACTACTCAGATGTTGATATGCCAGGGACGGATGGTAGGGGAACCGATCCTTGTTGTAGCAGCGCAGTTCAGGCCCCTTCACTGCCATCTACCTGGAGATGCTCTGAGGACCCCAGTATAGCTGCTTGCAGCTTCCTGGCTACCTACCACAGTCAGCCTGGGCAGGCCCCTGCCACAGATCCTGGGCTGCTCAAAGCAGGCAGCACAGAGGCTGCAAAGACACCGCACTGGGGTCTGTGGAGCACTAGCTTGGCTTGCTGCTGGCAGTGAGTGCATGTGCACCTCTGGGTGGATGGCAGGGGAGCTATGAGTGGCCCGATCCTTGTTGTGGCAGCCTCTTCCCACCGTCCGCCCTGAGGTGCACATGCCAACCAAAATGCCTTTGAATGTCACGCTCTGGCATGCATACTGGGGGTTGCTGACCCCTGGTCCAGGCCTTTCTCTTCATTATACCTACAAAGGTTTCTGGTATAGAAGGTAATGAAGTATGCAGCACTGCCCAGATTTCAGGTAGCACAGTAGCCTACAGAGCAATCCAGAAGGGCTGATGTAATTCAAAGTGGTTTCCAAGTCTGTCTATGTTATTTTGGGGTCCTCTCCAGCCCCAGATGGAGCTCAGGATTAGAGAGGCAAAAAGATAGCTTAAAGTTACCATATTCCTATCTGTCCTTTCCTGGGCCATTATTTTTGTGCTGAGCATCTTAGGCACAGCCAAAGACGGTGGGCAAAACACGGCTCGTGGGCTATGTCCAGCCCACCAGGCCATTCTATCTGGCCAGCATGGTCCCTAAAATTGAGAAAATTAAGACTTATTTGCTCCTGCTTGCCTGTCAAATATGACAGGGGCCAGGGGCAGTAGGACCCACGGGAAGCTGGCAGGACTCAGCAGCCAGGCCTGCCTGGCCCTGCCCCCCCCCCCGGAAGCCTCTACCTAGCAGAGTCTTCTGGCTTGAGACCATTGGGCTGTTCCTGCCTCCCTGCACTGAAGGGAATTCAAGTAAGAGTTGGGGGAAGGGGGAGGGAGTACAGGAGGGCTGTGGGGATTGCCCCCCTTCTTGGGGCTGGGCCGGGCCGGGCTAGCTCCTGCTGAGGCCTGTGGTCTGTCCATGCAGCCGGGAGCCATGTGGTGCAGAAGCAGCTGGCAGGCAGGAAGGGAAACGGTGAAAGTGACCACAAGCAGGGGAGGGGCTGGGGGAGTGGCAGTAAGCAGGTGCGCAGAGTGCAATGACAACTGGGCGGGAGCACTGGGCCCGTGCTGGTGTCCCAGGGCCAGCACCAGTAGGACCCAGAGTGGGGTGGCACAATCCTACCCCCACACAACCAGATCGGGGCTGAGCCACACCCCTTTCCCTCTGCACGGTTGGATTGGGGGCCAGGCTGCACCCCCCCTCGCCACAAGGCCAGGCCACATCCCTCCCCTTGGGCAGCTGGTTCAGGGCTGGCCATACCCCCTTCTTCCCTCTACCCCACACAGGGCTGAGCCATGCTCCTTTCCCTCTGCCCAGCCAGATTGGGGCTGGGCCACACTCCTTCCCACTGTGTGGCTGGATCGGGGTTGGGCCAGGCCCCCTTCCCCTGAGCAGCTGGATCAGGGTTGGGCTGCCCCCTTTCACCCTCTGCACAACCAGATGGGGTTGTGCAGATCAAGGTTCAAGGTTCTTATTCTGATAAAGATTAATTTCTAGTGAAATGCACAAGACATTTTTGCCTGAGTTACTAAGAAATTAGAACCTTCTTCTCAGTGAGTAGTATTTCTGGATAGGCAGGAACAGAATGAAAAAGAGGCAATGCCCTGAAATGAGCAAGGTAGCTAAATAAAAGAAATGTACCAAAACATTTCAAATTTGATTTAAAAATTTCAAATAATGATCCTCCTATGTGAAGTATATCCACACTCATCTTCACACTATGTGGCTACAACTTTTGAGTGCTGCTCTGGCAACTTTTGAGTGCTGGTCTGGCAACAGCAACTAATTTTGTAAAACACAGTAGTAGTGACAGCAAGCCGCAGCAGCAGTAATAATGGTAGTTTATTTATTATATTATTTTAGCAAAAGCAGTAAAACTGACAATAAAATTATATATAGTAATGAAATGTACAGATTTTTCTATGAGTATGTAATAAGACTGCACATTATATGAGTTCTTACAAAACTGAAACAGGACATAGTATATGATGACACACAAAAAAAGATAAAATGAAGCAATGTACAATAAAGAACGTAAACTAAAAACATGGGAATTCCATTTTTTGCCCCTTATTCTTTGTGCAAGTAACACAAATATTCCTAAGGAATATAGGATAGGTTGCAAGTTGTTAGACAAATTATTTTTTCTTCCTTAGCCCAGTCTTTTCCACAAAAAGTGATTTAAGCCATCCATCTCAGTTTTCCAACCAGAACATATCTTGTCTGAATATGGGGTCCAAAACCACTGCTTATGATGACTGTAGATCTGAGTGAATCCCAATTTAGTAATAGTCTCTCATTGTAGTTTTACACTGCATATAGATAGTTTTCTAGGGCTGTACTCAGAAATCACATTTATCCCAGGATTAACTGTTTATCCCAGGACAAAATGCAACTATACAGTTGTTTATTAGGGCTGTGTGAAGCTTCGGTCCCTGATTTGATTCAGCCCAATTCAGTGGCCAAATCTTCGAATCAAATCAGAGAACCTTTTATTCTCTCCGAATCGAACTGGAACCCTCCAAATTGATTCTGAGAGATTCAGACATAGAGACAGCTTTAAATGTTTTTTCTATATACCTCTAGGTAGCAGGGGCTCATGGGTGCTGTGATACTGGGGTGCATAAACAGGAACACGGGGGGCTCCCCAGTGCGCTCAGCAGCAGACCTGGAAGTGGACCAGAAACACTTCTGGTCCAGTTCCAGGTCTCCTGAGGAGTGCACAGGGGGTGCCGCCCCACGGCTTGCCAGCTCAGCAACTGGTGCCTCCTGGGTCTGGGGGGGGCACCTGGGGAACCCCTGCAGCCGACTGCTGAGCTGGGGAGGTGCGGGGGGACCTCTGTGAGCTCTGGTCCACTTCTGGGTTACCCGCCGAGCACGTGAAGGGCCCTCCTGCACTCCTGTGGGATGCTCCATATGCCCCAGCACTGCAGTGATCATGAGCTGCACCTGGTGTCTCAACGTATGTAGAAAAATCTTATAAAGCTGTGTCTATGTCCGAATTGCTGATTCTCTGAATCAACATCGACTCTTCAGATTCGGATTCATTTGAATTGAATCAGGGACAGTGACCCGAATCAACGAATTGAATCACTGTCTCTGATTTGGGCTGAATCCGAATTGAATAGGGCCTGCTTCGCACACCTCTAATGTTCACGTCCATTGTCCTCAGACAAATCTTAAGTTTCCCAGATAAAAGAGAGTAACTGTTTATCCCAGAATATTAGAAGGGTGATGTACGTATATACCAATACCCAAATATTTTTGTTCCAGGACAAACATAGGCACACAACTTACCCTGTGACAAATGTTCCTAGGCTAGGACAAGAGTGCTTAAATAATCTCAAAAAAATCTCACTGCCTGCATATCTGACTGCATGCTGGAATCTTTAATTCTTAAAATGTATGTCTTGCTTAAAACAGAGGTAACAGTGACTATCAGCATATTTCCCAAGCCATTTGTCTAGAGGAGCATATAAATGTTACTTAACCATCTAAAAAGGTTTATTTGGAAAAGGAGAGGCTTCTAAAATACACTTCTCAGGGTATCTGATAGGGGTACAAGTTGTATTTTTCAGTCCACTAATTTAGAGTTCTTGACTGAGCTAAAGTACTCATATTAACCAGTCCTATTTCAGAAACCATGAGCTCACCCGTGGTAGAATTTAGTAGAGCTAAAAGCAGCCTTAAAAAGTAATTAGAAGTTTTTTCTATTTTAGATCAAACCATAGAGTCAGCACCCCACAGTTCCGCTCCATGTAATAAAATGAACTTTAACATAGAGACTCACAGACCTTTAGTGCTCATCTTTTTGTAAAAGTATAAAATTTCAGCTATAAAACCAGAACAAATTGTAAGCAGATTCAATTTTATAAGACTTCAGTGAGCTTTTGTTTAAAAAAAACGAAAACTATCTGGCACTGGCATTCATTCAATCCTTTACGGAATACTGACTTAGAATAAAACTTTGCCAACAATTATGCTTTATAGAAGTATAAAAGACATACCTCTGAAGGTGCCAGAGTTGAACTTATGTAATAAATAAGAAACAACCGCATCTTGTCTTCTGGAGTTCCCGCTATAGAGAGGAAAAATGGGTTTGTATCTTAAATAAGTGTACAGACTATACAACTTTGTAGTTCACTATATTGTGTTACATATACTGTACATTGAACATTTAGATCAGTGGTGCCTACAATCCCCAAAGTGATAAATAACTAAAAATCCACCTAATTAAAAAGAAAAAGAAAACCTTGCTAGTTACAGTAATTGGTTTGGTCCATACCAGTACTTCCAGGAGTAAAAGATAAGCATCAATCAACCACAGTAGCTTTACGGCTTATTCTAATTAGCAGCATGCACGCATATAAGTAGATTTGCATCCTACATTAAACAGAATGTTATGGTAAAGAAACAGTATGAGAGTAAAAGAACTACAGTGTGTTATAAAAATACCTTTACTTTTTAAGATATCCAATTTGGCTACGTTGACCTAAATTTGACTGAAATGTAATAGTTACCCTCATAAGCTGAAAAGATTTGTGTCAGGCTTGGGTGAGAAAAAAATTCCTTACATCTCCCAGATAAGGTTCTCTGGATAAATGTTACATCTCCCACACACCTATATATAGCTTTTCACATCCTGCTGACCCAACTGTTACACCATCCGGATTCCACCTACTATTCCATAAACCCTTCTAACCCACTGGTTACTCTGTTCATGTCCTGTCTTGTCTATGAACAAAAATGTAAGCACTCTATAACTAAAAGGAAGCCTTTGTAGACATAGGAATGTATGAGATAAATATATTTTAAGAGAGATACTTGGAGATGGAACTGAAATCAAAGAGGAGTGTTTAAAAAAATAAGGATGGCAATAGAATATTATGAAAAGTGTGCAATACTCAATATAAAGAAGTGTGTTACAAGGTGGTAAAGGTCTTTCCTGACATTAAAGTAGATGTTTTAAAGCTGGGAAGCACGGGAGAGAGATTTGAGTTACAATGCCAATGATGGATTATTTATTCTAAAAGTAAGTTCCACAAAGAATGGAAACTGTATCTGAAATAAAGCAATTACTTATTTAAGTCATCTGATATAGAATCATAGAAAATTAGGGTTGGAAGGGACCTCAGGAGGTCATCTAATCCAACGCCCTGCTAAAAGCAGGGCCATCTACAACTATATCATCCCAGCCAAGGTTTTGTCTAGTGGGGTCTTAAAAACCTCCAAGGGTGGAGATTCTAACATCTCTCTGGGTAACTTGTTCCAGTTCTTTACTATCCTCAAGGTGAACAAGTTCTTTCTAATATCTAACCCAAACTTCCCTTGGTGGAACTTGAGACCATTGCTCCTTGTTTTGTCATCTGCCAGCACTGAGAACAGTCTAACTCCATCCTCTTTGGAACCACCCCGCAGGTAGTTGAAGGCCACTATTAAATCTAGGGGTGCACCAAAAAAGATCTTGCGGACTGATACCAATAGCCAATTTTTAAGGAGGCATACTGGCCGATACTGAACCCATTTCTGATACAGCTGTATGTAGCTGGTAAGTCTGCTGTGGTGGAAGGGGAGGGAGGAGGGAAGGGGCGTGGGGGGGCAGATCAATGCCCCCCGTGGTAAGGGAGCGAATGGGGCTGAGGCAGTTGCTGCCCAGCCAGGATGGGGTGGGGTGTGGGACGAAGCTGCGGCTCCTGCTGCTGCATGCAGCCCGGGAGGGCACACGG